TACTAGATCCTATTTCAGATACGAATCGACTAGCATTAGGACCAGTTTGTCATCCATCGCTATCTTCATACATGATTTCTAGCTTCCTATGAGTGGCCTTGACTATCCGGGATGTGCCTAAGCCATGAGTATGACCACGTCACTTACGCTCGATTGGGAATGCTACAAGTGTTAAAACAATATATGTCAATAACAAAAATAGTTGAAGTAAGAATTAAATAACAATTATAGAACTATATGTCTCTATTGGCAAAGTGGCTTGTGCAGACTAGATGGTAGGTGAAGGCTGCATGCTAGGTTGAGTGATTGCCTGTGTGACAGGATCATTCAAAGGTCTTCGGGGATGTGGTATAATAACCTGTGTTGTTGACAGTAAAAAAATTCAATATGCATAAAATTAGATTTGAGCATGTTGTACCAATCATGGATTTGTGTCAAACAAATAAATTGTTGCTGAAAAGATTACTTTTCAGCAACTACGATTTCTAGTCTGTAAAAAGGTTATGTCAAAATCAACAACTAAATTTTCGGTCTGTAACATTTGGTTGCTGTTCTGCTAGTAAGTTGTTTTTTCCTATTATCGAGCCTGAGGCACAAAGAGCGATAAAAGCTTAACCAAGGGAATGATGACAGCTCCATTCATAAAATGCATGTACTCAAATTTTGAATCATATTTTATTAGCAGGATACTAGAGATTGCATAAGCCTCAGAAATATTTTGTTTCAATATCATGTTACGAAAATCGATAGAGGGACGAATAATAAATAACAAGATTTTTCAGTATATTAGGATAAAGAAATATAAGAAGACGTTGTAGTAAATTTTTGAATAACCGCTCACTATTTCTTAGATGAACATTGAAATTAATAGAACAATAATTATTTCTTACCAAATGTGATTCTTTTGTTTTTCTTATGAGATAGGGCTTAGAGATGAAAACATTTTAGATAAGTCTTGATGTGATTCTCTTGTTTTTCAAAGAATCATCTATGGTATTGGAGGAATGACTAAGTAAACAATAGCTTATAGGAATGACAAAGTGAACAATAGCTTATAGGCTCCCACAAAAGTCTAAGAATCCATTCTTACTTCTAAAAAACTCAAAATATAGTACAAAATTATTTCCATCCATTACATGAAGTAGTAACAATAAGCCCACAATTAAGACATGTTTCCTATCCCCCATCTAAATTAGTCTTCCCCCATCCACTCTGATTAAAACCAGAGCATCTAAAACAGATCCTCAATATAATGTAATTTGCAGTCTAGAAAATCCTCCCAACCTTAAGTCACATACAACATTACTTGTCACTCCCATATGATGTTGACAAGTAGCTATTAACATATAAAAACCTATATGTAGGATTTTTTGACTAATAGCTACAGTGTACTCAATTTGAGTCTGTGTCTCATCTAAATGAGGCAGAGTATCCATGATAAGGAAAAGCACAGAAAGGAATCTCAAAAAGAATTTTTAAACAATGATAACCAGTGCCCATAGAGAACAACTCAAAAAGAAAAAGATAATACAAATTAACCAAACTGATAAAAATGCTATACAAAGAAACTTACACCAAATGTTGATTTCTAAGATAAGAAGCACTAATACCACCTAAAGCATAAATTAGCACAAATAAGTTTCAAGAAATACAAAATGAACAAGGAAAGTGAAAAATCAATAATCTACATAGTGGACGTTAAAATATATGTAGTAATAAAATAAAATAAAAAATTGAGAAAAATTAAAAACCCTACATAATAAAAAATATAAAAATCAAACCTCTCCTTTTTCTACCAAGTAAACCAAACATATAACACAAAATTTCCAAAATCCAGATGTGAGTGTGGGGTAAATGAGAGCACAAAAAGAAGAAAATGGAAAAACTAAAAAACTTACTTTAAGATTGGAAATGGAGAAAGAAGGACAGCACTTGGAAATGGAGAGAAAACGACGGCTACTCTTGAAAATGGATAGAAAACTTCAAGGCACTGAGAGAAGGATTTTTTTTTGAAAAAAACCTAGAAGGCCTATTTAACCAGGAGTAAGTTCTCTCTCTCAGAGAAGTACAATATAAATCTGGCAGTCTCTTTCTCCCTGTATTCTAGTTTTTATGCTCCATTTAATTTAATGAATTTTGGCATTGTTTTATATTTTGATTTAATGCTTCAGTTATTATCACTCTGGATCTGTTTTTATTTTCATCATTTTGTATCAGATCTATGTTTGCAATGGCGAAGATTAAATTTTTTTTTTCTTCGGAATCTTCATTTCTGAGTAATTTAAAATAATTAAAAGTATTTTTTATTATCATTTTCCCTGGTTGTTCGTGATTGTTGTTGATCTGTTTGATTATCTTTTGATTTGTTGATTTATCGTCTTGAACTTGAGGTAGACAATGTAAATATTTACCCGTTCTTAAAAGTTGATGAAATAAATCTTATTTTGGTTGACTATTTTTAATTTTAGTTGAAAAATATGTATTATTTTCGCCTACATTTTGGTCAGTAAATACTGTTTCACCGACTAATTATACGTTAGTGGGAAAAAAATTTGGCCGACAAAAGACTATTATTGACTAATTTTATTGGGTCGGTAAAGATTTTGCCAACCAAGTAATTCTATTGGTCGTTATAAGAGAGTTTTCATCGACTAGAATTTGGTTGGTTGGGGAAAATTGGTCGGGAAAGCTATATTTTCTTGTATACATCATAGTGATCCTCCTATTTGACTATTTCGACCATTTTCCAATCCCCAGAATTTTAATTCACCATGTGTAGAGACACTATTGCTAAGATAATAAACTCTATACGAATATAGATAGAAGAAAGCTCAATATCTCACTATTGCATAAGGTAGGTCAAATCTATGTAAATACAGAATTAGTATCTAAACAATTTTTCTTTATTTCCCCATTAAAGGTACACACATACACGCAGCACACTGAGATAGTTATAGGGGATAGTATGAGAAACCGCAAATCACTAGCAAATGGAAAAGCTCTGAGTTAGTTTACCTTCAAGAATCCAATGAATTCAAACTTTAACAATATTTTAAGGGTGGTTTGTGTTATTCGACAATCTAATAAACTTTATAGGGGTAGGTATGTGTTACTCAAACTTGAAATAAGGGAGGTTTGTGTATTTATTGAAAACGATTGGGATTTAAAACTTGAAATAAGAAAGGCTTTTGTAATTTTTGAACATAGATGATGTTTATAAACTTGTCGAAAACCTAATTTTACCGCACTTGTTCTTGTCATGCTACTTGCTCTAAGAGTACGTTGCTAGGAATGGCTCAGTGCCGGGTGGCATGCTTCGCTAAGGACTTTCGAAAGATGCAATATGTATTAAAATATCTTCATTTTCTGCTCCAATTTTCTCATTTCACTAATTTATTATTTTCTACCTATCTTATTTATTTTACCGTGATTTAAATTAAAAACAGAAAACAATTAAAAATAAGAGTTGACACAGGGCTATGTTTTCAAATATAAATTAAATTTAGAAACTAAAATGTAAAAAACAAGATTCAAGGAAGGGTACAGATTTTTAATTACAATACAAGTTTTAAGGACATAAAAATAAAGATAAGTTGATGGGGAATAGGTCCCAGCTTCGATTTCCCAATCCTCTACGTCAACGCCACCCATTATTAGGATATTTGTGTTAAAACAAAAGTTTTGAGAAAGTTTTATAAATTCAATTTATTTATTTAGTTACCATTTTAATTTAATTTGTGTTAGTTATAATATAAAAAAATATTTATATAAACTATTACATTTTACCAGCTATTTTACATCGCTATATTATTATTTGATTTTATCAGTAGCTAAATGTCAAATTACAAAGAGTAGAAGATATACTTGAGTTTCAAGAATTAACAATTTCATATGAACTTGTAAGCCAATCTTGCAAAACAACAATGTAGCAACTTAAGTTAAAACAAGAAGAAAACTTCTTTGTAAAGAAAATCCTGACTAGTAGTATTGCGTGAAATGTACAAAATACATAAAAACAATTCATTTCTTTACTTATCCAGACATCACTCATGAGAAGATGGTTGGTGTACTAGCATATCAGATACATTGTGCATAGTTGGCTGATGTTGTGGATTGGAGTGCATGCATTCAATTGCAAGTTTAACAACAAACATCAAAATCACCTTTTCTTCTTGAGTGGGATAAAGAATGCGTGGATCCAACAAATCTTCCATCCATAAATCTCCATTTGATGGAGTAACATATGTATTGAATGTATTCACTTGGATGCTTTCCTTTGATCACTTCCAATGCTAACACTCCAAAGCTATACACATCACACTTTTTGGTAACCTTCATTGCGAATGCAAGTTCTGCCCAAAAAATAGGGAAAGAATACAATCAAAATCATGTATATATATTCCGTGAATGAAATTAACAAAAAGAAATATTACCTGGAGCAAAATAACCATATGTGCCTACAAGAGAGCTGAAGTTCGATGAATCGCATATCAAAAACTTAGCAGTGCCAAAATCTGAAACATGAGCCTCGTACTGTGAATTAAGCAAAATGTTGTTGCTGGATATGTCTAAATGAACAATTGGAGGAGAACAACTATGATGCATGTAAGACAAAGCATAAGCCAAGCCCTTCAGGATATTAACCCTTTTAGGCCAATCCAATTTCTTGGCTTCTTCATCCACGCTTAGAGTTTTTGCCAAACTACCTCTATCGAGGTATTCATAGACCAAAAGTGAGCTTTGATCATTTGAGCAGAAGCCGTAACGTTTCACAATGTTCCGGTGCCTGATTTCTGTCATTACTCATAGTTCACTCAGGAAAGCTTCAAAGTTTGCCATTTGAGAAGATAAATGAAGTCTTTTGACTGCTACTGTAACCATTTCAAATGATAAATTTTTTTCCCTTCTATTGTTTTTTTTGATGAAAGTTGTGCCTTGTAAACCTTTCCACATCCTCCCTCTCCAATACAAAATGCTAGATCAAATCCATTTGTGGCCTCTTAGATGTCTTTATACCTGAGTTTTCCATTGAGTATGGTGAGCAAATCATCATCTACATTCATTGGATTCTTCGTTCTGCATTTATACAGGATGAGGATCTTGATGAATGCAAATAGAAGTAAAGCACAAAGAAGAGGGGTTGCAATTGTCAAAATGGGCCTGTGCTCATTCCACATCTTCTTGTTTTTAATCGGGAAGGGTTTTACATGGTTGTAATCCTGCAATATTACCACACCCTTGTTCCCTTGTAGTTGTTCTATAGAGACATTTTGAAAGGCTCTGCCGCTAGGAACTGGACCCTCCAAATTATAAGATATATCAATGTCCACCGAGCTTGGCATTTCTTCAAAACTCTTAGGAATAAGTCCTAAGAGGTGATTTGTGGGAGAGGTTTATTAGTTCCAGGCTTGTCAAAACTCGTAGTTGAGATGGTATTTCTCCAGTGAGTAGATTATTACTCATATCCAACTTGGACAAATGGATTAACTTACCAAGCTGATGAGGGATTCTTTGGCTTAAATAGTTGAAGCTCAAATTCAAGTAATGCAACTGCTCAGAGTTCGCTAAATTTCCCGATATCTGACCTATCAGTCTGTTTCTAGAAAGGTCAAGGTTTTCTAGATATGAAAGCGATCCCAATGCTTTAGGTATACCTCTAGAAAGTTGTTTATCCTCTAAATATAGATTTAGAAGTAAACTTAACTTTCCAATTTCCTTCGAGATCTCTCCATGCAACTTGTTTGAAGAAAGATCAAGTACTTGCAGTTGACTTAAACTTCCAAATTCTGGGGGAATGCTCCCTGTAAGGTTATTATTTGCAAGTTTCAGAGCTTGTAGTTGTTTGTCATGACCCTAGACGTTCGAGAGTTCACCATAGAAATTATTGCTACTTAGATCCATGAAGATCAAATTTGGATATATACCAAATTCTTCGAAAATATTTCCGGAGTCGAACTAAACTCGAGCATTTTCTCAAGCTTTCATGGATTGGACCTGAAAAATCTATTGGAGCTCACAATAAATATTTCTAATACTCTTCCACCACATAACTCTGGCAAATTACCCGAAAAACGATTAGAGAACATAGACACGTTGACTAGTTTCTTTAATTTCCCTTGTTCACTTGGAACGGAATCAGAGAGTTGGTTTTCAGATAGACTAAAAAGTTTTAAATGGCTGAGGTTCCCGAATTAAACCAGGATTTGACCTGTGAGATAATTATTACCCAATCCTAGCTTCTGAAGTGATGTCAACTTCCCCAACTCACAAGGAATGGGACCAGAAAGTTGATTATTATGGAGATACAGAATTCTTAAACTAGTTAGTCCACTCAATGAAGTTGGAATTTGACCCGTGAGCTGATTCATGCTCAATTCCAAGTCCTGGAGCGATGTCAATTTCCCCAACTCAGGAGGAATGGGGCCAAAAAGTTTATTAATATGTAGATACATAGTTCTTAAACTAGTTAATCCACTCAACAAAGATGGAGTTTGATCCGTTAGATGATTCATGCTCAATTCCAAGTCCTGGAGCGATGTCTACTTCCCCAACTCATGAGGAATGGGACCAGAAAGTTGATTAGTATCTTGATATAGAGTTCTTAAACTAGTTAATCCACTCAACGAAGATGGAATTTGACCAGTGAGATGATTCGTGCTCAATTCCAAGTCCTGGAGCGATGTCAACTTCCCCAACTCAGGAGGAATGGGACCAGACAATTGATTAGTATGGAGATATAGAGTTCTTAAACTAGTTAATCCGCTCAACAAAGATGGAATTTGACCTGTGAGATGATTCATGCTCAATTCCAAGTCTTAGAACAATGTCAACTTCCCCAATTCAGGAGGAATGGTACCAGAAATATGATTATTATGGAGATATAGAGTTCTTAAACCAGTTAATCTACTCAACGAAGCTGGAATTTGACCTGTGAGATGGTTTGTGCTTACTCCTAGGTCTTGGAGTGATGTCAAATTTCCCAACTCAGGAGGAATGGGACCAGAAAGTTTATTACTAGTGAGATACAAAGTTCTTAAACTAGTAGGTCTGCTCAACGATGATAGAATTTGACTCGTGGGATGATTCATTCTCAATTCCAAGTCCTGGAGCGATGTTAACTTCCCCAACTCAGGAGGAATTGGACCAGAAAGTTTATTAATATAGAGATACAGAGTTCTTAAACTAGTTAATCTATTCAATGAAGTTGGAATTTGACCCGTGAGATGGTTTGTGCTTAGTCCTAAGTCCTAGAGCGATGTCAGATTTCCAAACTTGGGAGGAATGGGACCAGAAAGTTTATTACTAGTGAGATCCAGAGTTCTTAAACTAGTTAATCTGCTCAAGGAAGTTGGAATTTGACCCGTTAGATGATTGGTTGATAAATCGAGATAGTTGAGTTTGGAGAGCTTTTCTATTCGTGCTGGGATAGTTCCTGTAAGCTGATTGGTTGATAAACCAAGATAGACAAGTTTGGAGAATTTACCAATTTGAGGTGGACCAAAGAGGTGGTTGAGTGAGAGGTCTATATAAGTAAGATTTGGGAAAGATGAGAACGGGAACTCATAGAAGAAGGCTTGAATGCTTGCATTTGTGAGGTTCAGCCTATTGACACTTCCATTGATGCAAGAAACTCCAAACCAATTGCATGGACTAGAACTTTCTTTTGGATGGCTAGAAAAATTGGTGGAATTCTTAGTTTCAAGATTCCACGATTTTAGTATCGTGTTGTTATGATTTATAAAATTGGCTTTCCATTTCAACAAAGCATTGGCTTCAGCAAAAGAAGCAGAAGCAGAAGCAGTAGGTTCGATAAAAATGAAGAAGAAGAAGAGTGCGAAACTGTAGTATTTTAGCATGGTTGTACTAGGACTTCTGGACAAATTATCATGCTATGAAAGTTTAATTTTTAGACTCATAATTATTATTATTTGGGGGGGAGGGTGGGGGTGTCAGGAACTTTAAGATTTTTAACGTGCTAAAGACTTCATAAGTCAAGATTTGTCTTTCAAAGTAAATATCATTCTTCATTATCAATAATTGTTGGTAATTAACTTAGATTGCAGTATCCTATTAAGACGACCTTGACCAAATAAATATTACTTAAATCACAGTGTACTATTAAAGAAAAACCTGTGGTAATAATTTGTGGAAAATACTTATATGAATCTTCTACAAAATATATATTTATGGGTTTTAATTAATGCATTGTTGCATAAAGAACACATATATTGAAATTTTCATATCTTGGATACAAATTATATCAGACAAAGTTGAGGGAAAAAAGAGAAAAATAAACTTTTATTGATAATTATCTATACAAATTACATATTATAGAGAGGAAAAAAAAAGATCTAGTTACATAGTTGTAAAACTGATCACTTAGTTTCAGAATTACAAATTCAATAATATGTAAATATTGCTATATGAAAATAAAGGTCGGAAAAAAAAATTTAAAAATAGCCTAGGCCAAAAATAAGTTATTGATTTCATGAATTTGATTGTTTTTCTCACTCTAACTTTTTCATTTAATTTAATTTTAATACATAATTAAATGTTGTGTAAATATTTAACGAGGTGAACCATCCATTAAAGTTTTTGTCTATATATGTGATCTTACTTTTTTTTTTAATTCAAGTGTAAATTTCGTCCAACTAATTTGGAGGAGTGGCAACCTTCTCCCTTGGTTCGCCACTTGTCGGATGGCGCCACAATTTATACACACTTAGATTGGACATTCAAGATATAGTTATCCTCACTGTGGATCCTTTTACAACATGATTACTGGCCCCGAAAGGGATGTAGAGTGCACATAACACTCCTTTCATACGTCATCTATGTGATCTCACCTTTTATGGGTATTAGAGGTGGACAAAGTTAAAATTAAGAAAATATAGTAGGGGTATCAAACCTTTAAAAAATGTGTAGTTAGATCCCAACACTTTTATTCTTAGCACCTACATCCTGAACTTTTTAATATATGTGCACAAGAAGAATCATTAATGGTTTACATCCAAGGTACATTGGTATTCTTAATGCAAGGTATATTGGTATTTTTACATTTAATTAACTACAAAAAATTTAATAATTTTAACAAAAAATAATTAATAAGAGAAATAAAATATTTATCTTCCCCATTCCACCTAACCATAAACTGTTTAATAATGTTATTTATCACTATTGGTTTTATAACACTGGTCTAGATGATACTTAATTGGTGTTAAATAAGAGACACAATTAAATGAATCATATAATTCCATCTTCAATTAATCCTATCACATTATGACAGTTGGACTGGTGTTCAACATCACTTAAAACCACAAAAACTTAGCCCCAACTCACACGGTCATCGAAATTGCTACCAACTAGGTGATTTCTCCCCTTGCAACCCGAACCACCCTCGACCCCACTACCACCTCGTCGACAAAAATAATTCGACCATCGTTATCACTAATTCCCACAACCCACCAACACCACTGTCACTCCCCCACAAGCAACACCATTCATAGATCTATTAGACATTTGCATGACAATTTTTCTTTCTACATGTAGCAATCTTGTTCTGAATATATATATATAGTACACTAGAGCAATATTTATCTATCCTTTTTTATTTGAATAATTCTACTTGTACATAAGGAGTTACATAAAATTTTACAGATCATCAGGTGTCAAAAATAGGGGATTTTTTTTTTTTAAATTTGATAGAAGAAATTTTGATCCAATCATATCTCACCCATCATGTGTATGTTGTAATATACATATAACACAACTAATTTTACTATAGGAGATTCGTTTCTTTTCTTTTACTTTTTTTGTCTGCCACTCATGACTATTTTAAACCCCCGTTTGGCCCCCATTAATTTCATTCCACTACATTTCATTTTTCTCTCTTCTATTTTCAACCACACAATCTTCCATAAAATAATATTACACGTAAATAAAAAAAATTCTTCATTTTTAACCACCCATTTTTAAAAAAAAAAATACTATTCCACCCATTTTCATTTTTACAAAATGGGGGGCCAAACGAAGGCTAAATTGTACTATATTAATTAATATGCTTGATTTCAATCTTTATTCTGCTTAGCACTTTCCTCTTTTTAGTAGAATAGAAAGTAAGAAAAAATTGTTCTTTCGGTGGAATGGCTTTTGAAAGACATCTCCATTAAACTCCATTAAAATTAAATTTTTAGGAAAAATGAAATTTGGAATATTAGTGAATTTTTGAAGAATTTTTGGTCAAAAGAGAAGAAATTTTTTTATATTTATGTGTGATACTATTTTATTGAAAAATGTGTAACCATGTTGAGGATGAGGTGTCCAGCGAAGTAGTCCAGTGTGCTCCTGCTGCATCTTATCCCCACCCTCTACCGATTCTTTCAATTTTGTTACTATTATATGATCCTTCAAGCTTGCTCATGCAATGCCCAATTCGTTTAAATCCAACCTATCTGTACAAATACATTACGCATTCTATTAATGATGTCAACGTGAACGACACTAGCTTGGACTTAAGAGGGCCTAGTGGGGCTGCCTATGAAAATGAATCATGCAGGATTTGACACTATATCCCGCAAGGAGAAAAATAAACAAAATTCAAAAATAATACAGTCTTCGTGTCAAGGACCACAGCTTCAAAGGCACCCTGCGAAACTTCGTCCTGTCCCAATTTTAGATAGGCATGTGATCCAAAATGGATTGAGACTAGCCGTATACAAAACTCAGGACAACGCATGCCGATAAGTGGGCCCTTTTGTATATCTTTCAACAATGAGTGACTCGATTGATACCACTAATTATTTAGGCTGTTTTATTGATTATTTATAAGCAACATTTATTATTAATGATTGGACTTACTACTTAAGAAAAAGTAACTTAAATATAAATTATAAGCGAAAAAATTATATCAACAGAGGATAATTAACCTAACAAGCAAAATGACTTGGTTTTCATGTCATTAAACCGCTTGAAGATATTTCTTCATAAAATATTTCTCTTCAAATGACCAAAATGAATCTAACATCAAAATGCATTTTTCTCTCTTCTTTTTAACCACACACTTTTCAATAAAATAATATTATACATAAATCTAAAACTTTTTATCTTTTTAATCCACATTCTTCAAAAATTACTTTTCTAAATTACATTTTTCCCAAAAATTAACTTGAATGGGTCCCTAATTGGAAATGTCTATCAAAGGCCATTCCACCGAGTGAACAATTTTGTCTAACTTTTGATTTTACTGAAAAAGAAGAAGAAAGTAAGTGCAAAGTGGAATAAAGATTGAGAATCAAACATAAGTAGTCAATATAGTACAATTTAAAATAGTCATGAATTTGTTAATTTTCCACACGACGTTGATTTAATTAATTAACTAGTAGAAGTGGAAAAATAAGTGAACTACTTTCTTCGTGTGATTGAACAACTTACCTTTCTTTGTGTAATATTTTATTCAAATGGTCAAAATGAATCCAAGTGGAAATGTCTTTTTCTGTTACATATTTTAAAAATAATAAGTGGGACCTTTAATACAACTTCAACAACCCACTTTATATTTATTGCCACGAATATACTTCATTGCTCCACCATATTATAAACGCACATCAATTAATTAAAGTTTTTGATAAGGTTGTGGTAGAAAAAATAAAAAAATGTTTCAAAAGTAGAGTTTTTTATGCCATTTTCTTACTTCTGTATTAATAAATAGACAAAATACTTAAAATATGATGGAGCAAAAAAGAAAAAAAAAATCATAGTCACCATCATATTTATTCATTAATTATGTCTCTCCCCTTCTCTTATTTAACTTACTTTCTCACTTTTATTTTATCATTCTCCTTCATTTTTCTGTATAAAACAAATAGTTCCATAGAAAGTTGCAAAAAACTGAATAGTACTAAAATTGCGATAAAATTGCAAGTTTTGACTCCCCACATTAGGAAATTCAGATTTTCTCTTTACTTTTAATTTTAAATATAGAGAATTCATTTGCAGTTCTATAAAATTTACTTTTAATGGCAATAATTTTCATTGTGAATGTCAAGATTTTATCGTGGAATAATTACTCACAGGATAGTCGCAAAGGCCCATTATTTTTAATGACAAAATGTATGTTTGTCATTGAACATAATCATTCAACATACAAAAAAAATAATAATAAATAAATAAATAAATAATGTTGTACATATTCTTCAAATTTGGTTGTTACTTTCATTTAAACGACAAGAATGTGGTTGGTGATTAACAATAACAAAACTTTTGTTCTTAATATCTCATAAAAAATCAAATATTTTTTTAATTAAGTCATTTAAAATATATATCATTAACATCAACAATTTGTAATTAATTTTGTTATTAAATTTATTTTTGCTTTGTTTTTACCTTGTCGTTAAAAATGTCATTTTTATCTATTAATGTCAAGAACATAACTTTAACATACTTATAATGCACATAAGTGACACTCAAATACAAACATAATATTCAAAAATTGCCCCCCTTTCCACCAAGAAAAAAGTAACTATTAGCGCTAAATATCTATGCATACACCTAGTAGTACGTATCAAGACAGTCGTGACACGATCAATCCCAAATTGCCTTAATGGATC